CTCTCTCTCTCTCTCTCTCTCTCTCTCTCTCTCTCTCTCTCTCTCTGTGTGTGTGTGTGTGTGTGTGTGTGTGTGTGTGTGTGTGTGTGGATTGGTTCTCTTCCAGGAACAAGATGAGGGAAAAACTGATAGTCAAACTCCCTATGGGTTGGTTCTCTTGCAGGTAGAAAAGAGCCCAGTGATGGTCGAAACTCTATCTGGAGTCTAAACCTCCATCCTCTTCAACAGTGTTCCACTCTTTCCTGGCCCCAAACAACTACAAGCGCCGGCAACGAATGGAAGGCCGCCTCAATATATTGACTAGGTAGCACCCCGCGGTGCTCCTCGTGCAAAATCATGAGCTGCAGTCATGTGACAGAGGGAGAACACAGTGACGTCGCCACACGTCTGAGCTCAGGAAGCCAGACTGCTGACAGTGAGTGAATGGTGACGCACAAGCAGTTGTCCGTCATGCTGATGTCACCTCCGTAATGCTGACGTCACCTCACGACAATATACTGACCAGCACCCTGAATCATGAGCTGCAGTCATGTGACAGAGGGAGAACACAGTGACATTGCCACACACCTGAGCTCAGGAAGTCTGGCTGCTGACTGTGATGAATGGTGATGCTCGAGCAGTTGTCTCCATAATGATGAAGTCGTCTTTACCAACAAATGTCCGTGGGGATTCGGCATTACAAGCACACCAACTGGGCACCTACTTGCAGAATTCTTTTTCCGGCCGCATGTCAAGAGAATGACAGTTTAAAATTGGCAATTCTTTTTTCGAGGAAACTGAAAATCACTATCGAAAACAAGAGTGGTCATTACAAGCACATCAACTAGGGACATACTTGCAGAATTGTACACATACAGCGATGGATCTCTACATCAAAATCAGTTCCTCATGGGTACTGTTAACATGTAAATAAGACAGGTAAGAAGTCCCCATTCACACTGACTAGCACAGAATCTTGGTCTGAGATATGACATAACCATGTCATATGAAAAGGGGGGTCTCCTCAGAACCTCAAAAGCAGAGAGAGGGATGAGGCAGAGGGAGGGGAAAAGGAAGGACGGGTTTCAAAGCACCATACATAGGTATTGCTTTGCTCTACCCCGCAACAGACGGGACTTCTCATCGACAATTATGTCCACCAGATCCCGATTCTGTCAAATCATAGCTGGCTTCCCAGAGGACATCAACTAAAGGGGAAGGCCTCGTCCAACAGCGGACAATCATCTACCCTTGGCAGAACCCCCAAACCCTACCACTCGCCAGTTCATTGGACAGAGATAGATAGATCAGTGCGATGTTGACTGCCAAAACTTGTCAGAATTCCCACAGGAGATCTGGCATACATGCAGCTAGCTCAGCACAGTTAACTAAAGCTACGATGACGATGACAACAACGATGACGATGACGATGACGATGACTAAAATAACGATGACGATGACGATGACTAAAATAACGATGACGATGACGATGACGATGACGATGACGATGTCGATGTCGATGTCGATGATAACGATGACGATGTCGACGACGACAATAACAACAACAACAACAACAAAGGTGGTCACTCGGATCAACGAGCACAACTTACCGGTCTCTCTGAGCTGAGCAGGGATCAAGTAGGTAAGTACCACAGATTACGACAACTCTCACCCCAATTCTCATATCTATCTGCCCAGAGAACAACAGGTTTAATAGAAAAATGTGCCGGTGATGGGTCCTGTTGCATAATAGACCAATGAACCCACCATACAGGACAGCTTTACAAATCCAATCTATAAAGAAGGAATGGTATCATTCCCCGCGTATTGCAACTTCCTAGAACCACTGGGGAAACAGACACAGAGGGAGAAAGAAACACACACACACACACACACACACACACACACACACACACACACAC